TTACTTGAATGCCAAGTGATTGAACTGCCCAGCTTTGGCGTGCAATGGTTCAAGGTGAGTCTGACTGTTTTGACTCTATACTTCGTATCGAAGAGTGCAAATGCCTTTTATAGCTCTATACGATTTCATTAGAGGGCATGGCAACATACACTTATTAAGCAAAGCATTGAAATAAACAATTTAATTAAATTATAAACCTGGATTGGTGAAAAGGAAGGAACAAAGCACCTAACTGGGGTATTCCAATCTCAGCTAGTTGAAAGCTTCTTGATTTTAAAAAATTAAAGGCTCGATTTAGATTACCCCTAAAGAAATAAGTTATCAATCAGTCCGAATGGCACTTTACATTTCGTCTGAATTGGATCTCGAACCCCCACGATAACGGAAGCAGCATCTGGCCTGCTGTGAAGCGTATTTGGTATCAGTTGGCCAGTATACAGACATGTAGAATCACAGAGGCACATAATTCTCATCAGATGTATACGACCGATTTATTAATTGCTATCATTTTGAAACCAAGGGCAACCACGATGATTAGATTTAGAATAATTAATTTTATTCTTTTAAATTTGTTGTGCGTTATGCATACGTTATGCTTCTGAAGAAAACCCCAAGCTGAAGGGATTTTTTAGGCTTGAGCAAACACATATGTACAATAACTCTTTTTAATGCCGTCTATCTATATTTGCTACCAACTATAAATCCTGCTTAGGGGAAAAATTTATGATGATGCTCATCTTTTTTGCACAGGACGAAACCCCGATCGAGGTGAGCAGCGAGGACTACCATATCGAATACTTTCAAAGCAAGTCTATTTCAGTTATATACAATGCTACGGTGCAGGATTCCGGGGAATATCGCTGCGATTTAACTTCACACAGGAGTAGCCTTTGCGCAGTCGCTGCTCAAATACAAGGTTAGTCGGAAGTTACGAAATTACATGCAACACTTTCTGATTATTCATTTTTTTTATTTAGTACGGCACCGCAGGGAATTAGAACACACATTCAATGACAAAATACTACAGATCCCTGTTCATCATATATAAAATTCACTTTACACCGTCTACAGTCGGAAATTATTGGGTAATATATGTTAAAATAGATTATTGTTCGATTGTGTGGGAGAAAAACATTCTAAAACCCAGAAAAACGGGGGGAAATTGCACACTTAAATGGTTGAGACTCAACAGGAGATTTGCAATATAATTAAATTTGCAGACCTTATCCATTGATGCTTTCTTACTTCCGAAATAGTGTTTGAAAGATTGTCATGTAAAGTCAGTACTTTAGTCCTCAAGTCAAAAACTACAGAATCTACAGTCTACATATTGTTGCTTAGGTCAGTCACCTCTAAAGCTGGATTGAGATGGGCAATATGATTGACGCAAAAAATAACCCAAAAGCCTACTGGCCACAAAATAATTTGTTGTGCAAACTGCGTGCGGAGTTAATACAGAAGCAGTATTATCTCTATTCACCGAAAATAAAGCAATACAATGAATCGACTCATTAAATCTGCAGACTTGTCTAAGAGTATGTCGCCTTAGGGCTAAGTTAAGGCCAGGATAGAAGGAAATTGGTCCAAGCTTGCTCAAGGGAGGTGAGAATAAATCTCTCATTGTTGCTTTATCTGTCCAGTGCACCTGCATCCTGGAGTAGCGACATAAATTGCACCTACCATAAGATCGGTGCATAAAGCTTCGTTTGCCTATCATACACATGAGCGTTACGGATATGCGTTCGAACTGCAGCAAAGGACTCGCAGCCATGCGAATGAAAACTCGAAATCATCACATTAGGAATAGATCCACAAACATTATTTCGTATCACACTTTGAATTGGCTCCAGCATGAATAATTTTTCAAAGCCTATCTAGGCCTAGTTTCAAAAGGGTCGTGAGTTGTTGTGAGCCCCCCTAACCCAGTCTTGACTGGCAAGTATGGGCATCTTTCCTTCATTTTACTCCCATTTCTCTGTTTGAGGAAACTCTGCCAGGATATTAGTATATGAGTGGAAAGTATCAAAAACTCGCTATATTGTTTAGTGAAATCCAAATAAGTTAAGCCTAACTGGTGACTCCTTTGGGATAAAGTTCATATAAATTTTGTTTTCCGAACCCAGAGGAGATCAGTGAAGTGGCGCCAGTCTTCTCACAGGAGTTGCCTGAGCGCCTGGAGGTGCGTGAAGGTCGGGCAACAACACTCGAATGTCGCGTTGAAGCGAACCCACCTGCCAGCGTCGTCTGGCTCTTCGATGACAGGCCTCTGGACACCAGTACCGAGGCCTCAGCGACAGTTTATGAATCGCGCATCGAACAAGACGGTCTCATCCAGCTGGGCATTGTAGAGGCTTTTCCTGAAGACGAGGGCATTTACCGCTGCGAGGCCACCAACGTGCTCGGTACGGCCAGTACTCAGGCGGAGCTGATTGTCATCGCAGGTAGGGCCATCTAGACGCGTGGTTTGATTTGCCAAGAACTTCACTCAAATTAGTGAAGCCTTAATAGACACTAAAGGTAACACTCTACCGCGAACAATTGTTAATCTTAGCTAGTGGTACAGGAAGATTAATTCGCAATTTTATCAGCACTCAAAGGAGACTCGATCGGCCTCTTCATATTATTTGGGGCGGAAAAATCGTTGTTCGTCTATAAATGGCAACAGTAATCTCAATTCTATCTGGTTGGGCTGGCTACAACCTGAATTTTAGGCCACAAACCACACATAATCAAAGAGATTATGCAGGTTAAAATCGTCTTTAAAGGTTGATATAAAGTGGTGCACAAAATTTGCTTACTTTACTAAATCCTGATAAAGATATTCATCAATGGATAAATTTGCAAGCCCCGTGATCATATTTCATAGGCTTCATTAAATCTTAGCATCAGATTAATTCACTTCATTCGTATATTGGGATCCCGATAGTCTTACAGGATCAAGACCCTAAGCAAGTTAGATAGAACATGGGGTTTAATGATAAATTATCCTAATTTGTTTTCGTTCATTTCTTCCTAATCAACATTGGAGATTGCAGTGAAATTACATAATGCCTCATTTTATATAAAATATTAATGAATAATAATATCTTTTCGGGTATTTTAGGACAAAATTAAGTGGGATATTTAAACTGTCTGAAACTTTAATAAAGACACACTAATTTCCTTTACAAATCAGCTTTATCACTAAATAATTTGTTTGGCAGCTGTTCCATTGTTAAAGAACATGTACAGGTATCAAATAAAGGACATATGCTTGGGCATGGTAGCACTTTTTAAGTGTATGTCCCTCCCTTCTATAAGGTTATGTTAAGGCTAAGGCGATCCACTCCATCACATGATTTTACATTTACTTTATGATAAAAAACCCCAAAATTAGTCAGACCAAGTTGAAGAAATATAAATGTAGGCTATTAGAAAC